GGGGTAGAAGATTGCCTACCCTGAGGCAACGAGCGAGTGATATTTTTGGTATCGCAAGCGTCTTTAGGCTATGGTGGCTATGCTTGCTATCAGGCGGGCTAAACGCGAGTTTGCCACCCTTTTCACATAGATAAAAAAAAACATAGCGGGTATTTATAGGCTTGTGACGGGAGTACAGTATAGAAGTCTGCAGCTAAAAGGTAGCATTGTGTAGCATCGTTACTACGGTGGGCTTAAATGTTGGTACCTACATACAGAAAAAAAACAAATATGTTAAAAATTTATATTTACCCTGCAATGCATGTCCAGCAAGTGAAATTGTTTAATGATGCATTATGCTTAAGTAAGATATTGATACCTTAAATCGTTTTATCAAAATATTCCTCGATCCGCAAAAAACAGTCAGAAGCTGGCATTGTTAATACCCGTACTTCAAAAAGTTCAAAAAGTATGTAATCAAAAGATTGTATCTTTCGAGTTTCCAATAAAAAAATAGCATTATGAACTGAAGCATACACATAGTAAATGCAATGATCGTATAAGAACTTTGTAGATTGTATAGCGGATATGCTTAGGGGCGTATTTTAAAATCAGGTACCACGGGCAACTTATGATTTACCTCTTAGAATTAGTAAATCAAATTACAGGTCTGTTACGAATGCCTTTATCGCTTCTGCCGCCCCTCGCAGCTCTTGCAGCCACCGCTCGTAGCCAGCCGCCCCGGGCCTTGGCCCCTTTTGGCCAGAGCGTAAATGCGCCTCTGATGACGCACTGTGGAAGTTATCTCCATGGTGAAGAGGACTGCTGCCTTATTACTATTTCTCTAGTGTTGCGACTGGTGCCCGGGAACAGCTATCTGAAAATAATTATAATGAGTAAAGCACTGCTATTTTGGATATTACCAGCGCATTACTTGTCTTGGGACCTGGAACAAGCTAAGTTTCCCAAGCTCCACAGGATAGGGGAATTTGGTTCAGGGTAGTAGGGTGACAGTGGCTAACATAGCACGATTTTCTCCCTCATTAGCTATATTAACAACTGGACTCTGTCATATTTAACACTAACGGTTGGCCGCGACTTATCCGCTTTTGAGTATTCCACAAAAACCTGATATTTACCGGCAGTGCCGTCTTTGACCTATTGGAAACCCTGGGCATATTAGGATAATGAGGCCCATAAGACTTCCGTTTGGTGATTGAATAGGAACTAGGGACTTTGTATTTGATCTGATGGGGGCCCCTATCGATCGTTGGGCTCTGGGCACTTGCCCAAAGTGCCCACTGGGAAAGACGGGTCTGTTTACCGGAAGAAAAGGTATCTTGTCTCGATCCAGGTCATAAACTATATCACCCAAAACAGTTCAGTAGTTTTTGCGTGATTGAGTAACAAACATGCAAATACACAAACATAAGAAGTATCTAGGTTAAAGAGGCATGGGATAATTTTCTTGCCGTTAAATAAAAAAAAAACTAATCAAATGGATGAAAAACGGGCTGACCAAAATAGAATCTTATTATAGTTGTTATACTGCTTATGAATTGGTCAAGAAGGTCTATAAACTTCACAACATGTGCTAATACACATTATATTTCTAACGATATGGTAACTAATATATGGACCACTGAAACTGGGAACTACCTTAACTATATTTCGGAAAATAAATTTAAGTTAAGTATACTTAAGTATACTATACCAAAAGAAAATTTTACTAGAAAAAATTCCACGAGGACGAGGCCACAGATAGGACTCGAACCTACTACTACTATTCTACCGCAGCCCTGATGGCCGTGTCGAATTCGTTCTAGTATTTCTTAGGCTGCAAGGCAGTCCATCTCTACGCATAGTCATTCACAATATCAAATAAATACCTTTACAAGTATTACACTTATGAAAGAAGTAATAGCAATTCTAGTCATATTTTTTATTTATTAGGCATTTAAGTGCTAGATGTTTAAATTTTTTTTATATTAGACATCTAGTAATTTAATGCTTAAAAATAAAAAATATACGTATTCCTGTCAAACTAAAATCAATAACAGACCAATGTGATAACAAAAAAAACATAAGGTACTTTCATTTTCACATTCCTTCTATGTCAATTATTTTTATAAGGTGTTAACACAGGAGCGTGGCCAATTGGAAATCAGGTGCCACGACTACATCCGCACTCTCGACACGCATTGGGAGCGACTGCGTCCTCTGAATGCATGTCGGGTGACCGGTGATATATAAAAAAAAAAATGGTTGCCTGTAAAGTCGGTTTTACGGGCGAAGATTTTACGTGACAACGTCTTTTTCTCGGTAGAATATTTATTGATATGAATATAATTAAATTGCACAATAGGAACAAGGAATTGAATGAAAATAAGAATGCACAAATTTTAACTATAGAAATATATTTTGTTTACTAAAACATTGTACATGTAAACTTAAACTTAACACGAGAGACTCATCGTAACGTTACCGAGCGTTACACTTTTTCATAAGTGACTCCCAGCCGCAACCTAATTTAAGACGTTGTCACGTCAAAAGTATTAACACAGGAATTAACTTATAAAATAAACTTGGCTTTTTGCTTGACTTTAAATTTAGGTACCTATTTTAACATGTTACAGCTTCTTTGCTTATCAAGTGCCTACGGCTGGCAGTCATATTAAAAATTATAATATACAAATTCATATTGGAGAATTTGAGTACATTTTGTCTCGATTTAATGATTGTCAGATAGATAATAATATATTATAATAATTCCATAAAAAATAGCTCAAAATATAATTAACTAGTCGTTTTCTTCAGTAGAGTTGCGCCTCCCAAGATTCCCGCCTGCAATTCTTTCAGTACCTACCTACTTTGAATTTAGGTAAATACATAATAATATGCATAAGTATTTATTACTTTAAAGTGATTTTGTTTCGGTAAAAATAAAATTAAAAAGCGCTTTTGTTCACAGTCTTACTAGTCACATAACAAAACACTGATCTACCAATCCCATAATTACAGTGTTGCCAGTAAAATAATGAAGGAAGTGGTTTAATTTTTTTAACTTGAAGATTTTTAGCAGTCATTTTAGAATAGCCCTAATTACACTAAATTGGGCCCTTATTGTGGACAAAAATTATATATCTAGCTTTGGTACTATACAATAATATCTCTTTAGAAATATTTGATTTTTCTATCTATGCATTTCTAATATGACCATTCATGCAAATATGAGACGAAATCGAAACGAGATAAAAGCCGGCCAAATGCGAGTCGGACTCGCTCACGGCCGGGCTCCGTATCGTTATCTATAGAATAATAGACACTATAATTATACTACACTATAAAACCGGCAAAAATAAAACAGTTTTTTGCACCCCTTAAATTTACTTTTTATTCAGTTTTTTATTATTCATATAATCTCTACTTTATGTCAATGATATGTGTTCACTTATTAAAGAGGGATCGGTGTACCAATTCGCAGACGATACGTGCTTGGTAGAAGCCCCAAAAGTGTAAGTTAAGCTGAACAAATAATGCAAAATAATTTTGATATCGTTAGTAAGTGGACCCATGACGTTGGTTTGGTGGTGAACGCTCAAAAGACTAAGTTATTGCATATTCACACCTCCCACAATAAAGCCGACATCACACCCACCGTGGTGGGTCACAATCATAATTGTATTCATAACCAGACATATAATTGCACGTGTCAGCCAATTTATAATGTAAAACAACATATGTATGTATGTCTTTTGATTGACGAGAGATTTTGCTGGGGACCTCACAAATATTACGTATGCGCCAAGTTAAGATCAATCGCGAGTAGACTATCTATATTAAAATAAAAATTACCACACAGAACCCTTAAACTCATATATTTGTCCCTAGCTGAGTCTGTCGAAAGTTATGGCCTAAGTAGTTATGGAAGAACTTATAAAACATACATAGAGGATATTTATAAAATTCTATATAAAATGCTAAAGATAATTGTACCCAAATATATAAAAGTTAAATATAAAGGTAACGCACAAGAATAATTTCGATATTGTAATGTGATGAATGTTTATGACAAGGTAAAATACGTAATTCTAACCGAATGTAACGAGACTAAGTACTTGAATATTAATAAAAGACCAGATAATCTGAGAAATGTGTTGGATCGTAGAAAGTTTTTGTCGCCGAAATGTAATAATGTCCACAGAAATAGAAAACTCTGTTATTTAATACCTTCGTATCTCAATGAATTGCCTAGTAATCTACAGGAAATGTACTCGAACATTGTAATCAATAAATATAAAAGATATTACTTACAAAATAGTCAATTTGAAAGTACATAAAGTTGTAAAGAAGTGGCTTTCATACACACATAAACCTGAACAGGTTTTTGTGTATGATTTTTGAAATATGTAGGTATGTGCATGATTGATTGTATTTGTATAATAAAATAAATATTTTATTAAGTTTTCAGTATCTATTGTTATAGATCATCAGTGAAAATTTCAACTTAGTAGCTACCACGGTTCATGAGATACAACCTGCAGTGCTATTCTGTTAAATTTTCACGCATGGATCCGGTGTAGAACGGATCCACATCGGATCCGCGCGTGAAAATTCTACAGAATAGCACTGCAGGTGACAGAAAGACAGGCGGACAGCGGAGCCCTCAGTAATAAGGTCCCATTTTCACCCTTTGGGTACGGATCTCTAAAAATAGAATAATAATCAAATACACTCTTATTGTTACGATGCTTCGTCTTATGGTCCTTCGAGCTGGATCTTTGGAGCCTCTGCAAGTTAAAACACGTGTTGTTATTATGCTATGCATGAATGAAGTATCATATCTGGTCTTAACAACGACGAATAAAATATTTTGTAATATTAGCTTAAGTATTGTGAACATTTGATGATAGCTGATAGATACGGCAGGTTCACCTTGCAGTTCCGTTACTAGTATGTTTAGAAATATGCAGTTTTAACTTTTAAATTTGATTAAAATATTAGGTGTCTTCTTAGTCGCTATCTTGATTGCTGAAGGTCGTGTCTAGCTTGAAATGTTGCTCACCTAATTTACTATGCTTCTCCACGTATTCGTGTCCTCGGCAGTCTTTATATCCTTGGTAATTGATAGGAAAGTGAGGGATTTTACTAGGTTTGACCAGCGGTGAAGTCCCTCAACGGGGATCGCACGGTTCCGCACTTAACAGCGTGGAGGGTATTCGCAGGGTTTTTTAGCGGATAGTATGCCGTAAGCGCTCGTAAGCCGCGCGGACTGCTTAACGGCTTCTCCGTTTCGCACCCGTGAGACTAGCGAGAGGATTTGCCTGCGTAATAAAAGAAAAGGTCTGACCAGCGGGTAGGTAAGCGATCGCGTGATCTTCTCCCGTTGACCTGGTAAACTACCATCAGCTTCTCTAAGCTGTCAGGGGTTCTACGAGCGATGTGTCCGAAATATTTGAGTATGCGCTGGTAACAGATAGTGTACAACCTTGTGGTTATGCCGTAATATTAGGTATATTATCATAATTTGTTTTTTAGGTTTTCACGCACACTAATCATTAAATTAATGCGTTAATTTACAATTTTTTTAACGTTTCACATCCTTTTCAGGCGGCATCGTCAGAGTTATATGATATTTAAAGAATCATATTGTATAATTCTGACGACTACAAATTTCTTTGAACGTCAGACTATATATTGTGTCACCCTTTGTTAGATCGGTCGAGGCACAACCACCTACCTCGCGGCTCGATTAACAAACTTTAAGGTTCACATGTATCGCAAAAGAAGCGTGGCGACCACCGGAGCGTATCAACAAGACACACCCAACAATGATTTGCGCCACAATATTTGCAAAATTCAACCTGTACGGACGCCGCCATTTTCAAATTTCTATCTCGAAATAAGGATTGCTCATTGTTCCCGCGCGCGCGTGAGAAATCCGCGGGAAGCCGCGTTGACATTCAGACGTTTTCTTTTTTCGAAGTTCAAATAGTTTTATGTTTCGCGAATGCGAACTTTTTAGTTTTTAAAGACGAAAAAACATTTGAATAATGAACACAATGATTTCTTTATCTAAAAGTATTTTTTAGGCAAACGACCGAGCATGCTAGTCGGTTATTTCGTTAAAATGTTGTGTGTACTATCCATGTTCCCGGTTCTGCTCGCGGCAGTGCAAACGCTGACTATTGATTCGCAGCTGGGTACATCAATAGAAGGTGAGATGATTTTTTTATTTCTATGTGCGATTAGGCATTAACGAAAAAAGAGGTCGAGTATTTAAATAAGAGGTTTAATGATTTCTATTCTTATTGTTGGTACATTTGGTCCCATATAAAACACGTAGGGTTCTTTGCAGAAAGACGAAAAAATACGCAATCAGATATGAAATGGATGGTTACTCCGCACTTTTGTTCTGCGATCGTGGATGTTAAGCAATTTTCACACTGGCCGGTCTTTCGGATGGGTGACCAAAAATTTGCTATTTCGTGGTCCTCCGTGCTTGGGAAGACTTCGCCTAATTTGATGTAAAGTGTACGTGGAACTGTGGACCATTTGCGAAAATATCTGACACAAAACTGATAGTACAGTAGGCAAACTTGTGTACTTCACTTTTCATACCTACACTCCGCTGTCGCGCTGGGATTGTCAACTTTGGCTTATCCACATAAAAACTATAGTTGTAGTGGCACTTGTATCTAGTTGATTGATTTATTGTTGAGAATGAATCAAGAAGTATGGAAATATAAACCAGTGAAAACTAAAATATTTTAATGTTATTGCTATATGTATTCGAGTGGTTTGTACGCCGGGTTTTATGGTGTCGCCGACTCGAGAGGTCCTGGGTTCGAATCCCGGTGGGGGCAGATGTTTGTGTGATGAATACGAGCATTTGTACTCCAGTCATGGATGTTTGATATGTATTTCTATATAATATTCTATCCGTTACCGTAGTATCCCATAACACAAGCCTTACAGTGCTTACTTTGGGGCTAGGCTAATTGGTGTTAGTGTTGGAAATATTTATTATTTATTTATTATGTATTCCAAATCAAAACTACAATAATTTATAGTTGAATGTTGATTTTAAACAAACTCCCATTTCCGTATCCCACTGAACAGTTCTATTTCTGTTTCTGCCCTTTTCAGTACAGTTGTGGATACGAATAGTGGTGTCGATTCTGACAGGATTCTCTAAACTTAAAACTAAATTTAACATCAGTCTGTCCTTTTCATTCTGTACAGAGAATGACAGAGATACACTGTTGTGAAATTTAAAATTAGCTTTAGAGAATCATGGCAGAATCGACACCACTGGCACGATTCTCTAAACTTAGGACTGAATTTGGCATCGATCTCTCCTTTTCATCTTCTTTAGTGAGTGACAGGGATTAACTGTCGTCAGGTTCAAGTTTGGGTTTGGGGAATCGTGCCAGAATCGACAACAGTATAGTACATGTGAAGTTGTATTTACTTTATTTTAAGGTGTCTGTCTTTTTTTGTCATTTTGTAAAATTATAATTTTCACTATGTTTCTGTATCCGTGTACTATGCTGAATAAACTTTGTTTCAATTACGATTGTTTGGTGTTCCATCAAAAAAGTTCACAGACGCATGTCATACCCTAACTCGAAATACTATTGCCCTACCTTCAAACGGGGTGGCAGGCTGCAGAGGGCGGCACGCCCCTGCTTGTATCCTATTTTTACCCCTACCTTTAATTACCGCTGCCCTATCTTAAATACAACTCTGACTTCGGCCTTGAGTAGTCCCAGGCGATCCGAGATCGTGTTCGAGCATAGACACCGCTCACCGTGTGCGTTACTCGAGCGCACTTTGACAGATTGCCTTCTGTACCATCTAGTTTTGTTTAGCTGACGCGGATCTTTAAGCTTAGTTAAATACAAATTGTCTTTTCTATCGCTAAGTTTATTAGCCTTTCCTGTCGTTGCGGCACTCAGATTTATATTTATTCACGCTACCATCTGTCTACTCGATTTTTTGTTGTGCTGTACTGTATATAATCGAAATAAATGATTTATCTACCTTTCTAACTAAATTGCTGGCCTGGCCCCAATCCCTCTACGCCGTGGAGCTTGGCTAAGTTTATCCACAGCATGAAATCAATAATAAGGCGATTCTCACACTGACACTAATATAATCATTGGGGTGACTTAAATAAAGGATATAACTTTAATTATGTTGTTTGGCTGCAGTCTTCTGTATGGAAAATACTTTTACAGGTAGATCAATTTTAATATCTAATATTTATCACAAAAAATCATATTGTGTTATTTTCAGATTGCTTCGAAAGATTGTCAATTGGTGAACAGTTGCCTCCTGACACCATCTATCGGAACGTGTCGGAACTTACTACCCGCGAATGCGAGCAGCTCTGCAAACAAGACAAGCAATGCCAAACTCACGACTACGGGTGAGTATTGAGCGCTAATTGCGTCCAATAGATGGCGTTAGTTGTGTTGACGAGGTAATTTGCGCAGTCGCAGTCGCATGAAATTTTGCACTGAATTTAGTGATTTTTTTCGTATCGAAGTAAAGAAAAGTTACTTTTTAGACGTTAAAACCAGGGACGGAATTAAATTTATATGGAGAAATCAATTATTCTACCCAAAATGATCAGACGATGCCTTGGGCACCCCCTAGTAAATAAATCTAATCAGAGCCCATGATATTAAGAGAAACCCCAAATAAGGAACAAAAACAGTAGGTTAAAACAATTGAAGATAATAAACATTTAAATTCATACATCAAAACATATTATACAAGCGACTAACCCATCTTAGTTCGGCTGCGATAAACCAACAAGAATCTGAGGAGTGTTGAGATTTCAATACAACTACTACTACTAAATACTGTTGTTTTAGTGGTTTTTCTAGGAAAATATTTCATACAAACCATGACAATACCGAACATCACAGTAAAATGGTTAACTAATTTAGTGCTGATTTTTTGAAGTACCTACTGCGTACTGCGAGTACGTTCATAAATTTCAGCGATTAATTGTCATTTATAGATGAAGATAGATCAAGGTTTTAGCTACATACATGATAATATGCAAATCTTTAGTAGAATTAAAACAACACTTTTGAAGAGTCCAATATTTTGATGTGGTTATAAAAACTTAAACTTGAACAATTACCGTTCCGTAAGTCATTTCCTTTTCATAAAACCAAGGCTTGTTAGTCAAAATGTAGGGTATAGATTTTAAATAAACCTGCCTTACAATCAAATCAAGAACTGCTTATTGTTTTGTTTTTTTGGTATTGTGTTATAAGAAACACATTAAACATGAGATTAGGTCACGTTTCGAATTGCGTTTGTAATCTGTATTCACCAAAAAAAATTGGTGATCGTTAACTATAAAGTTATCTGTCTTATTTCAGAGTTGGAGCCAAAGGCAATGCCACGTGTAACCTCAGCAACGTCAGTGAAAAGGAACTTAAAGAGAAAAACCTCCTTCTTCGGCATCCTGATTACGACGTTTACGTAAGGAGGTTCCAGTGCGAGCAATCACCTCCTTCGCCTATCCAGCCGCAGTTCGATGACCCCGGCGACGGTCCCATCCACAGACCAGTCTTCAGACCTGACGAAGAAGACAGAAGACCACTAGACGACTACCTGAGCGACTCGCGGCCTTTCGAATCCATCAGACCAGATTTGCTCAAGCCGATTCCACCGTACAGACCGCCATACCATAACCATATAGATAACGACCGTCCAGATGACTACAACAGTCAAAAACCTGCCTTCGATGCTCCACCGAGCTATGGCGCTCACAAGCCTCAAGAGATTCCATACAAACCTCAGCAGTCACCCCAGAAACCAAAACCTAATAAAGAGCCATACAGACCAGATCCTTACGACGAACTTCACTTTCAAGAACCGTACAAACCAATGAGACCGTTGAATCCAGGATTTTGGAGACCAGATCCTTATAATCCTCCTCATTTCGACGACATAGGCCCTTATAAACCTACAAAGCCTTATAACGATTATGACCCATATGGCTTAGAGAAACCTACTTATCAGTACTTTGTTCGACCAAATCGCAAACCTAGACCACAGGATTCTGAATATGATAGGCCCAGTTATCCTACAAAACCAGATCCTTATGGCGTGATTCATCCAATCGGCCCACAAGACTATAGACCTACTACTAACTATCCTAACAGGCCCTATGAAAAACCAAGCTATAATTATAACAGTCAGTATGCGAGTAATTATGGACAATCAAGCTATGCAGACAACTCCATATATGTAGAGATCTATGATCCACCAAGGCCTTATAAGCCTCCGAAGAAACCTGTTAAAGATAGGCCTAGTTATGGCACCAGTCAAGGAGGTTATGGTCAGAATTATGGTTATGGGGATCAAAGCGATTTTGGATATGGCAGCCACACTAGTCAGAGCTCGTTCAGCCAATCTCAAAGTTCTCATTATAACCAAGGAACCATCACGGAGATAGTAAGCCACGATCAAGGCTATAATAAACCCAGTAGTAGTGGTTACGGTCAAAGCTCTTCCTATGGTGGCAGTTCTGGCTATGGAAGTCAAACCAGTGGTTACGGTTCTGATAAGCCTGAAGTAAGTAAACCATCTTACCAAAGTAACCAAGGTTATTATGGAAGTAACCAAGCATCATATGGTAGTACTAGTAGTAGTTCTTCATATGGGGTCAGCCAAAGCTATGGTGGAAGTAAACCGTCATACAGTAGTAACCAAGAAAGTTCGGGCTATGGTACCACCACAAAAAAACCAAATACTGTAACTCAGAAACCTTCCGGAAGCGGCCTTGGTAGTTATGGTAGTCATGACTCTATTTATGATTCCTTTGATAGCAACCAAGGGTATGGAAGTCAAGGTAGCTATGGCAGTAGACCATCGTATTCAGGTGACGTTGGTTATGGAGTTAATAAGCCAGAATATGATCGTCCTTCTTACGATGATAGCCGGCCTACATACAGCAGCTATAGGCCTTCCAATAATAACTATAGGCCTGCATATGGAAACAAGCCTTCTTATGACAGTGATAGGCCAACCTATGATAGACCTTCTTATGGCAATAAACCATTTAATGACAAACCTGCTTACGACAATGATAGGCCTTCATATGGGAATAATCCGTCTTATGACAGTGATAGACCAACTTACGGTAATGATAGACCTTCTTACGATTATGATAGGCCGTCTTATGGCAATAATAAACCTTCATACGATGCTGATAGACCTTCCTACGATACTGATAGGCCTTCATATGGAAGTAAACCAATTAATAATAAACCAGCGTATGGGAACGATAGACCTTCTTACGGGAACAGACCTTCTCATGACAGTGATAATGATAGACCAACTTATGGCAATGATAAACCAACCTATAGCAACGATAAACCATCTTATATAAATGATAAACCATCTTATGGCAATGATAGACCATCTTATGGTAATGAGAAACCATCTTATGGCAATGATAGACCAGTTTATGGTAATAATAAACCATCTTATGGCAATAATAAACCATCTCATGATACGGAGAAGCCTTCATATGGTAATAAACCTATCAACGATAAGCCTTCTTACGGTAATGATGCGCTATCTTATGACATAAATCGACCAGACCCACCACCATATAATCAGCCTACTGATACACAAAACTCAGGGTACGGACCTCAAAACAGCGAACCACCAAACGATTATAAACATGGAAAACCTAATTATAATAATCAAACCGATTACAATAGACCTGATGTCAAACCCGTGTTTGAATATGAATTTGACAAGCCCAGTAATGTTCCCAGTTATATTTTGAGGCCGGGAGGTGAAGTGGTTACGTCTAGACCAGTGACTGTTGGTGATTACGGAGGGAAACCAGGTTATGGACGGGAGCCGGGGCATGGAGTTTCTTACAAAGGTAAGTGGGTTTTTTGTTACGTTCCAGCATGTTGTTCCATTTGAATCTATAAATTAGACTATACTAAAGACCAACGAAGACAGATTGTTCAAATCTAGATTGATATTTGTAATTTTTAGGGTTCGGTACTTCAAAAGAAAAAAAAACGGAATTCTTATAGTATAACTTTGTTGTCAATCTGTCTTTTTCAAAATAAAAAATAAGAAACAGAAATTATTTCTGCAGTCTAGGCTATTGTCCTAGCCTTGACTGAAGAAATAATTTCACTTGTGAAAGTAGAGAAGCTAGTCGAGTTTGGAGTTTGTTGGTCAAAACTCTATGCCTCTCTCCTCTATGCCCGAGATAAAGTCTCGGGAGCGCCTCCACGCGCTGAATATCTCCATATCTTTTGAAGCTGTCAAAAAATCAAACTTCTAAGTTACCGTAAAAGAAGAAACGATCGTTTATGTTGCGTACCTACAAATATGTAAGGAGTCCGACTTTCACTTGTCTGTTTTTTTATATTCTGGGATTTGAAATTGACTTGCAATATTTTAAGCACTATATAGTAGTCTAAGATAAACCTCTTTATTATAATATACTAGCTGTGCCCATTATTTCGTTCGCGTGGACGTCGGAAAATAACAACATGTCGTACGTAGGTGACACGATTTTTCTGATGAAGTGAAGCTTTTTTCTTATATTTCTCTAAACTAATACTTCTTGATACCGATACTAATTAAGAGCCACTGGGGTCAGGCGATGGAGGGCACGGTGTCATATACAAACGATGTTCCTTATCACAACCCATTTCCACCATATAAATTTGGGTCCTGGGGGCATCGCCACCCTCCTGAAAGATCCGTCTACGTATACGGCTATAAACTAAAATTCCTAATTAAAAAACCTTAAAAATTATATCGTTCTGGCGCTTCGCTGGCCTCTAAACTAATTAAGTGCCCCGGATTCCTGGGTTACCCCACTTCCAGGTGCCACCGACCTTGATATACTCCACTTCCCTGGTGCCTCCGACCATCGGGAACGCTCACCCCGAAGTGATCCCGACACCCGAGATTCCCTATTTCTATTGCTCCCGTTCCCAGACGATGGCCTTGATTTGGCCAAGATATATAGTGTTAGTGCCCAAGAGCCTCCGTCCCTTGGACTACTTCTCGGAAGCCTTCCTTTACTGACCGCGACCCCCCAAAAACCCCGAACCAAAAAATTAACAATATACAAATTAAAATAACAATCTGTAAAAAACTAGCCAAGTCTCGGTGGAGCTGCTTGTTTATCTTTAAATTGGCTTGGCCACAAGAGAATATGGAGGTGCCAATGCTCATGAGGGCATTTTTTGGCTAAGACCTTGGTATCACCGCCACTCTTAGTCCAATGCATTATATTTTGACCAAATTTTGAGCGAAATTAATATTTTAGTGTAATTTGTTTATTTAATTTGTGTAATGTTCGAGTAGAATAAAATTAATCGTTCGACTATTTTTTCTTGTAAACTCGTAAGTACAAGTATAAAAGCCAGTCTAGTGTTATGCAGAGTTTTCCTTTAATTTTATTTATATGCGTATTAAAAGTAGAAGGGGAGGCATTCGCCCAGCAGTGGGACGCTATAGGCTAGATCAAATTAAAAAATGTGTCCCACTACGTTGGATTATTGCAATGACAGTCGTTTTTTTTATGTACCAATAGTAGAAGGAGGCATTACCATATCTTTAATACAGCTGATACCAGCTGAGGCTTCTTCATGAGATACTGCAGACCTTCGATTTTTGACATCAAATGAAGCGGCCCACCAAGTTCAATATTTTTGTAAAGGCGGTATGTTAATCTCTTCTAATAGTTTGGTTGGGCTCTTGTGTTTTCTAGTCAGGGTCACCAGGTACTCCAGATCTTCGATTATCCTAGTTTTTACAGTTTTCCCTTTATGCGGCCATTAAATCCTAACTTTGTATCAAATTTCAGCTCTCTGAGTTTATGGGAAGTACTAGTTCTATTCTGATGATCATGAGTGAGTGAGTGTCATAAATGTGAAACTTTGCTTTCGCTTAACTAAGGAACTAAATAACCTACAGATTATTTCTTTTTCTTTCTTAAAATTTAACTTCTTTCTTAAAATGCAACTTATATGTGATTATAGCTTTCTAGATGACGAAAATATCTGCGTTCTGGTCTTATCCAGAGGATCTCCTATAAGGGCCTGAAAATGCGGCGAAATGGTTGCAGTAAAGGATGGTACGGCAGTGTTTGCTTCGCGCTCGACTTGGCGGGGGCACTGCCGTGCCCCCCAATATCCAAATTCAAATAATAGAATTCGAGTACCTTTTGTCTCGATTCGATGTTTGTCAGATAGATATAGAAATCGGGCACAGACGCGAAAAGTTCATATTAATAAAATTGTAATTCTATAAAATACTAGCTGACCCAGCAAACTTCGTACCGCCCTAAAAAAATAGGGGTTGTCCAACGGACAAAATTGTGAATCTAAACCATTCTCAGATCCCCTTTAACACACACAAAAAATTTCATCAAAATCGGTCCAGTCGTTTAAGAGAAGTTCAGTGACATACACACTCACAGAAGAATTATATATATAAAGATAGCTAAAAGTACAATTATACAGTATTTCATTTGGTCGGGTTGCGCCTCCCAGGATTCCCTTCTGGAATCCTTACAGCCCTCTACCCAGAGCCCCTATGCCCGACAGCTCCCCGCTGACATGACTTCAAATCGGTAGTAAAAGTCGGGATTCGGCTAAGTCGAAGTTATCTTCAAGTTCTGCGCATCCATTCGATCACTCCCGCCGATGTCGATGCACAGTGCACAGAGTACACTCATCCACTTTCTTAACATAATGGTAAAATAATAATGAAAAAATGGTTGCCTGTAAAGTCGGTTTTACGGGCGAAGATTTTACGTGACAACGTCTTTTTCTCGGTAGAATATTTATTGATATGAATATAATTAAATTGCACAATAGGAACAAGGAATTGAATGAAAATAAGAATTGCACAAATTTTAACTATAGAAATATATTTTGTTTACTAAAACATTGTACATGTAAACTTAAACTCATCGTAACGTTACCGAGCGTTACACTTTTTCATAAGTGACTCCCAGCCGCAACCTAATTTAAGACGTTGTCACGTCAAAAACGCTGGTTGATTTCTGTATTGCAATATGATTTATATTCGTTTTTAACCAAATTGTGTGTATATTTTTTTAAATACTTTTTACTGATAGAATCTGTGCAGAAAGAGAATGGGCGTGGCGAAAAACGCAACTAACATTAAGATTTTTATTTGGCAATCAAACCCAGCAATCTGTAAAACGTCAAAGTTTTGTTTTGATACGGATTCGTTTGTTGTTGTGATTTCTTGCGGTTTTTGTATTTAATCATGTCTAAAAGGGGTAAAACCTTACAAATACGGTAGAAAATCACTACAGCGCCCTGCAATCTAAATCCCATTCTCTTTCCGCACAGACTCTAAATACTTATAATTAAAAGCAGAATAAAGTTCTTCCTCTTTGCTATTTTGACACTGTGCAGACCTTCAAAACTATTTTATCACTAATTAGCTAGCGTAGGTACGCCATGAGATCGTCCTTTCGATTTACAATGCGCAATTTGTTCAGTGAGTAAGTAATTACTTATAAAAGTGCGGAAGAAATCGAGTCTTGGTAACTTATAACTTAAGCGGTAAAGGTAACGGCACATCAATACGAACCCGAGCAGCCTAGTCATAAAATTGCTATTAATGACAGATCGTATATCTCTATATAAGTGTCTAATTAGTTCACATCAAACTTGATTTTATTTATTTGTTTACTAGCGACCGCCCGCGACTACCCCCGCGTTAACTTTACTTTTTAAATCCCTTAGGAACCTAACACTTTTCGGGGATAAAATGTACCTTATGTCTCAATTCAGATTATAAACTATATGTGTACTAAATTTCATACAACTCCGTTCAGTAGTTTGTCCGTGAAAGCGTGAAAGAAAAAAACAAATATACAAACAAACAATATCACTGTCGCATTTACAATATTAGTTAGAATTGTAGTAAAAACGCAACTAGGAGGAGTGGGCGGGCTTACACATTAACAGTTTTACAACAAAGTCTTGAACACAGGCGAAAAGTTGCCTCTTTAGTTTTTTTACCCACATTTCGGAGAGTACTTCGGAGTTACATAACCTAATTCCACCTTCACCTTTTTACCACAAAACTACCAGAAAGAGGGCAAAACGCCACATATATACCGTAGAGGTCCCGCAAACTCGTGGTTTGCTTCCACCTATATCGTCAGAACAGCTAGGTTGTGGAACTCTTTGCCTGAATCTCTGTTTCCAGTCACCTATAATCTGGGGCTCTTCAAGTCGCGAGTGAATCGGTTTTTTCTAGGCAAACGTGTCCCACCTTAGGCTGCTACGTCGCTCTTCATCAAGCGCGTGGCCGTCATGCGTAAGCCTATTTAATGTAAAAAAAAAATAAACAGTATTATGTCTTAATGACATTTTTGTTTTTTAAGAATGTACGTTATACTGCATTTGTGTGTATGTTTCATTCCGTGTCGCTCTATATGACGATCCGACTTTGCGCTCGTACGTGTAAGCTGACCTTTAGTTACACTGATTTGTTGCAGTGAAGTGAGGAAACAACAGTGTCCATTTTAATTTGTCTGGAATCGTAAACGGATGTTGTGACATCATTTGGATAAAGCCTATTGTGTTTTGCGTGAATAGTATTATATTTAGAAAAGACATTTAACTTGAGTAGGTATTACAACGATATATTATTAGAGTCTGTTAGTTTATTTTATGCCATTATTGAAAAAAAAAATGCTTAAGATTATTACACACATCAAAAGTGTCTAGGGATCAAGCATTTTTATGCGGATTTCTTGAGATTGAGATGTGGCTTTGTAATTTTATGATTTTATAAATTTATATGGATCCTTTTTGGTGCATTTCATAATTTGAATCAGGAACTGTGAATCAAATTCGAGTA